TTTGGGTGCTGGGTAGGACACTGGTCCTCCACCCCTGCATCTATCTGGATGCTGGGTCAGAGGCCAACCACATGGTCTGGGGGCTCCTTACCCCTGTCCCCCACTTTAAACTGAGCCCCAAAGCCCTGTGAGGTCTCCCTGAGGGCTGGCTGCTTTCAGCATCCTGCCCGTCTCCCATGATGGGTTTGGTTTGGCATCTTCCTGGGACCAGAGCTGCTCGTGCCAAGCCCCCTGGGGCCAGGGTTTCTGCAAGGTGGGGGTCTGCTCTGGGTGAAGCCAACTGACTCATTTGTGCTCTCTCTCCATCCCATCAGAGCCCCGGGCTGGGCAGGCTGTTCCCGGTGTCCCACCTCCGCGACGTCCTGTCCTTCTCCACTGAAGACCCAGACGCCGACGACGCGTGCCTGGGGACATGGCAGCGTCTGGAGCCACCCCTGGGCACCTGCAGCTCCTGCGTCCGGTACGTGGCCTTCAGCTGGAACCTCCTGTTCTCCATCCTGGGCTTGCTGACCCTGGCGGTCGGGGTCTGGGGGCTCCTGGACAAGGAGTCGCTGCTGGGCGAGCGCGTCGGGCTCCTGGGCACGGACCCCATGCTCTTCCTGGCCCTAGTGGGGCTGGCGGTCAGCACGCTGTCCCTGGCGGGCTGCGTGGGGGCCCTCTACGCCAACGTCTGCCTCCTCAAGTTCTTCGCTGGGGGTGTCCTCACCTTCGTGGCCATGGAGCTCCTGGGTGGGCTGCTGCTGTACGCCCTGAGGCACCGGATCAAGGACTCGCTGCGGGACACCATGCTGCTGGCCGTGCTGCGATATCAGGACGACCTCGACCTGCGGTTCCTCATGGATGAAATCCAGACGGGCTTGCAGTGCTGCGGGGTGGAGTCCTACTTGGATTGGGAGACCAACCTGTGAGTAGCAGGCCTGGGGAGCACTTTTTTGGGTTGCTGAGTGGCAGCTGTGAAGCCTGAAATGACTTGGCTTTGGGAAAGCCACCTGTATGGGGTTTGGCAAGCTGCTGTTGCACGTATGGTACAGGAGTCTTTGCAGCTGCCTACCAGGCCCCTGAGCTCCTAGTCCAGTGCTGTGGGGAGTGGAGGCTTTACTGCTAGGATTGCTGCAGCTTAAGTGGACCATCTCCAACCCACCTTCTCCCATCCTAGGTATTTTAACTGCAGCTCTCCCGGCGTCCAAGCCTGTGGCGTTCCAGCTTCCTGCTGCCTGGAGCCTCTGGGAAACGGGACCATCACCAACTCGCAGTGTGGCTTTGGGGCCCTGGGTCTGGCGGCCTCCATGGCTGCAGGCACCATCTCCCTTGGGGGCTGCCTGCCCCAGGTGACGCGGTGGCTCAACAGCCACGTGGGGGTGATCGGATCCTACTTCGCCTGCCTGCTGGCTGTGGAGGTTGGAAGCTTGTTGCTGGCCACCAAGCTGCTGGTGGACGTGGCCCTCGCTCGTGCAGCGATCCAGATGACCTGCGGCACAAGTCCGGACCCTGGAAGCATGGGGCCGATGGGAACTTGACTGGCTCTGCACAAGCTGACGCTGAACCTGAGGATCTTCAAGCCCTACCTACCCTGAATACCCTGGGGTACAAGCCCTGCTCTCTGGGTGGCTGCAGAGAATGGCCTTTTAGCCTGTTGTGTGGAAGGGGGTCTTTGCTGTGCTTGCACAGCCCCTCCGCTTTCTGAATAAACCTATGGACTGACTCAAGGACTTGGGCTGTCTTGTGGCATGTGGGGGTGCTTTCTCACTTTTCCCCCTGACTCCACTTACCTTGGAGCTTACCCTGGGTCCCTGCAGCAGAAGCAGTGGTGCTGGGCTCTGCCTGCTGGGATGAGCTCCTTTGCAAAAGGAGATGCCCTGTTCCTCTATGCCCTTGGCAGCATGTGCGGTGGCAGTACCCCAGGCTCCTGGCTGAAGGAGCATGGGTGGTGGATGGGGGTGCTTAAACGCCCAAGGGCTGCGGCTTCCCATTTGAGGAAACAGCTGTGCTGCCTCCATAGGGAGAGTGGGGCTGACTCCCTTGTTCCCCGACCACAACATGGGCCCCTTTTTACCCTGCTGTCTGGGGCCCTCCAAGAGCAGTCCCAAATGCGCTAGCTCTGCTGATGGTCTGGCTCCTGTCTTAGGCCTCAAAGCAAGCTGCTGCAAGCAGAGCCAGACTCTAGAGAGGGACTGATGCTGTAGCACTTTGCCCCCAGCCATTCGGCCCTGCCCTAGTGCAGCCCCTAGCAAGGTCACGTTTACCCAGAAGGGCAGTGCAGGGTTGTGGCAGTGCCCCCCCCCAAGCAATGCCCAGGTTGTTGGGCTTTGAGTCCGGGCCTGCCCCAGCCACTGGCTGTCTGCGGACCAGCAGTACTGCTTATGCACGGAGATCAGCTGCTCTCTCCTTCTTTCCCCCAGCTGCAAATAGCTTTTTCAGAACCACAGCTCCAAGCACTTGCCCTCCCAGCCCCTTTTTGTTCTCCTAAAAGGCACAGGCTTAAATTATACCTAGCACCCTTGCATGAGAGAGCCCAGTAGCTGGCTGCAGCAGGTCAAGGGTGATTTTTTTTTTTTTTCTCTCCTTCCCCGGAGCTGGCTGCATTCAAGCACTGCTGCACACCCAGAGCTTGAGCCACGCTCAGGGATGGGAGGTGCTAGGGAAGCAGCCTCGGGGGGACAGGTTCTGTTAGCTTGGGGCAAAGGGGTGACTTCTGTCCTGAAGTGGCTTCTGGCAAGCAGTACCACACCATAACCCTGCCTCACGAGCTGCCTTGATGTCCCCAGGGAGTGGCTGAGTCCAGCCTGTGTGGCTCTTGGCTCCAGGGAGCTGAGTGTGGAGGAGGGCCCTGCTCTGGAGACTGGCCCTGAGGGTAGGGAACTCCAACGCCTGGAGGGCGAGACTGGGGGAAGGGGCTCATGTCCTGGGAACCCAGTGCTAAGGGGTCCGGCGTAGGGCAGAGCTGGTGAGAGAGACACACAGACACGAGGCGGGTCCTACTGATCGTCCTGAGTTTAATGTCAGCCGCTCTGATCACTACAAGCCTGGGGGACAGGGCTCGTTCACTACAAGCCTGGGGTTAGCTCCTCCGGCTACGGCGCGGCTGCAGTGCAGACACAGCTCCCTCTACCTACATAGCCAAGGCCGTGATCTATGTGGGCGGCAGGGTGGGGGAAGAAAAAGAGGTGCACGCCCTGCGCCCAGAGCGCTGCCTAGATGATGCCGTACTGAGCCAGTTCGTGGAGCTCCAGGTGACTGAAGGCTTCCCAGGGGCAGATCACGGTGATATCTGGAAGGGAAGGAATGAGAATGCCAGTGAGAGATTGCAGGCTGCCAGGGCATCACGCACGGTGCTCACACCAGCACCCTGGCACCCGTGCCTCCCCCAGTGCCCGTTAAAGCCCTGTAGGAGTATTTGCCTCTTCAGAGAGCTGGGGATCCAGGGGCAGGACGGGGTCTGGGCACACTGGTATTGCCGTGGGGAACGAGGCAGGGAGTCCCCACCCTCTCAGCTCAAAAAGGCAGAGCAGAGGAGAGGGGCTGGACAGCACAGGATGCTGCTGCCCATGACTGACAAGTGCCAGCAGGGCTTGAGGGAGAGAGGGGTTGGCCCAGTGCCTGCCACAGGCTAGCACTGCTCTCCCGGGTTCCCACACAGTCCCCGGGTCCCACGGCTTGGTACCTGTGCCCAATCCTTCCATGCCAGGGATGTCGTCGCCGAACCTGCAGGCAAACACAGGGATGCATTCATCTCTCCATCCTGGGAGCTCCCTCACCCCTGCCCCAGCTCAGCTGCCACCACTGCTTGAGTCCCCTAGCACTGCTGTGAGGGTGCAAGGCAGAGAGCCTGAGCACTGCCAGGGGTCTCCCTGGGATGGCACTCTGCCCTGCCCACCCGTGAGCTGGCCACATCTCCCTGCGCATCCCTGCTCTGGCTTGCCCTGTGTACACACCCTCGTCCCTGGGGGGGTAGGGCAGGGCACTTGATGATGCAGTGATGAATGGGTCCTGGCTGCCAGGGCAGTGCTGGGGAGGGGTGTGCATGGCTCGGGTGCCAACCCAGGCAAGCATCCTAGCTTGGCAAGTCCTGGCATGCTCTGACTGCTGGGATGTTCTGCACCCCAAGGTCCCCCAAACCCTCGTTATAACAGAGCTCACCCCCTCACACACTTACCCCTGGACCCCCTTCTTGGGTGGTTTGCTTTTGAACTGCCTGGTTTGCCTCTGCTTGAATTTGGGGGGCCCTTTCCTGGGGGTGGCTGGCCCGCCAGTCACCCTGGTGGCTGATTTGAAGTCCTTGTACTCCGGCTTGGGCGGCTCCAGGCTCATGGCTGCGGCAGGCAGTTGGCGGCTGCCGTGGTCACCCTGGCTCCAGGTTGTAGCTTCTCCTCAGATGCAGCTCAGCTGGTCACACCTGCGGGCACAGGGAATTCGCTGCATGGGGGCTGCATGCTGCCCTCCTGGGTCAGCCTGGGCTTCGCTGGCTCAACCACGGCCCCCGCTAGAAGAGGGCTGCGTGCCACATTGGGGCTGCAAGGCTGGGCATGGATGAGGCATGCAGCAGGGCTGTAGTCCTGCCATGCAGCAGCCTCGTTTGCCCTGTGGCTCTAGCTGTGCTTTCTGGTCCCCACACCAACCCCCCCATGGCTATGCTAAGAGATGCAGCCCGAATAGGAGCCCCTGAACCGCTTGGACCAGGCGCCGGTGTCAGCGCATGGTAACGGGACCCTCCGTGCCCGTGCGCTGGAGGCTCCGCGTCTAGCCGTGGGACAGGGACCTGCCCCCGCTGCGGTGCCAAAGGGAAGTGCCTGCAACCTTGGAATTAGCCCAGCTCAGATGAGCTAATCTCATTACTGCAAAGGCACTGAAGGACATCCATGGACCAGCCTGGAGCTGCAGCCTCAAGCTTCTTCCACCCCAAAACCATTTGCTTACAAATACCTGCTGTCCCCCAGCCAGGGTTCAGAGCCCACCAGGCACCCGGAGCAGCTGCATCCCAGGGGCTCCGACTGCTTTACCCTGCCCGAGAGCGGGAGGGGGCTGAATGGATCAGCAGCACGTGGAGGTCTGCTCAGCACGGGGTGCTCTAAGTGCCCCACAGGACCAGACTGGGCCACGTGCATGGCAGATCACATGGACCCCAGCTTGTTGCCAACACCTGCGAGCCACGTGAGGTCAAGGGCAAGCCACAGCCTTACTCCCTGCTGCGCCAGGCCCCAGGGTCTGTGCTCCCCGGTCGCCCCTGCAGCCATGGGTGGGCGAGCCTGGCATCCCTCTGACTTCCAAAGTGCAACAGGTAATGCACAGACCTCCCCCACCGATGCTGCCCTCTGCATTTCTCCTCCTTGGGCAGGGAGCCCAGCTCCGGAGCACAAATGACTCTGCCCCGCCACGAGGGGTGGCAACACGGGCTCCCAGCCCGGTGCCCGGGCAGCTGGACTTCCCCGCGGCCAACCGAGCAACCAGGAGGCGGCAGCAGAAAGATGCCAGGAGGTCACCTCGCTTATCGGCTTGCGGGGCACGAGGAGAAACCGCTCAGTGAAAGTAGCAGATTTAAAGCCAATCCCAGGGAAAAGCCTTTCCATAATGAGCAGCCAGAGAGCAAGAGCTGGGTGGGAGTCATCGAATCCTAGAAAATGAGGGTTGAAGGGACCTCAGGAGGTCACATCTAGTCCAACCCCCTGCTCCAAGCAGGACCAGCCCCAACTACATCATCCCAGCCAAGGCTTTATCAACACCTCCAAGGATGGAGATGCCACCCCCTTTCTGGGGAGCTTGTTCCAGTGCTTTACTGCCCTCCTAATACCCAACCTCAACTTCCCTTGCTGCAACTTGAGCCCATTGCTCCTTCTGTCATCTGCTCCCACTGAGAACAGCCCAGCTCCATCCTCTTTGCAGCCCCCCTGCAGGGAGTTGAAGGCTGCTATTAAGTCCCCCTCTGTCTTCTTTTCTGCAGACTGCTCCCAGGAACTGGGCTGGTTTACAGGCACCCGCAGGGAGAGGGACAGCATAAGCTGCCAGGCTGCAGGGCGCAGCTGCCCAGAGATCATGAGGCAGAGACCATCCCCAGGGTTACAACCACCATCCCTGCCCTGCCCCAAATACAGGCCTGCCCCCACCAGTGCATGGGCAGGCCACGTGCTGGCTCCACACAGCCCCAGCCCAGTGCAACTGGGGGGGACACATGTTCTCTTACCATCTGTCCCAACAGCACCACATCCCCCTCCCGGGACCAGCCACAGAGGAGAAAAGCCAAACTTTCCCAGCCGAGACCCTCATCCCGGGTGCAAACCCCAGCACGTCTGCAAGGGAGGAGCCTTCCAGGCAGGACAGCCCCAGAGGTGCCTCCAGGTAGCCAGGAGCTGCAAGTTTGGGGCAGCTTCTCAGCTGGGAAACACAGAGGGGAAACCGTGGGGAGGTTGAAACATTGCCTTGCCCTTGACGCAGGGGTCCTGTTAGGAAAGGTGTCCCCGCTAACACCGAAACGGGTCCCGGGGAAGGCAGAGATGGGGCGAAAGCCATCTTGTTTCAGCCGCGGTGCAAGCTCTCTGCGCCCAGCGCAATTCCCCCTCGCAGTCTTCTCCCACACGGCCCCGAACCAAGCACTGTTACCTGCTCAGCTCCCAGTAAGGGCCCTGTGCTGGTCCCCAGCTCCCACGAGCCTCCACCCCATGCCCGTGCACGTGGCCACCCCCTCTCCCCCAGTGCTGCCCCTCCCTGCCTGCCAGGCCCCTTGCTAGCTGCTAAGCCCGGAGACGGATGGGGTGAAGGTGACCTTGGGGGCAGAAGCTGACACCCGTGGCTCGAAGGCCACCTCCCCTCTGCCCTGATCCCGTCCCATGTCTTTAGGCACTAAGCTCCTCAGGGCTCTTACGCTCAGGCCGGACGCCCGCATGGTGCCTAATGCCCTGCACAGGCCCATGAGGTCACTGGGTGGCAGCAGGAAGAGCCACAAGGCCCCTGCGCTTAGCATCCAGCGCGTGCGTCATCCCAGCGGGAACGCTGTGACCTGTGTCCAGGTCAGGATTGGGGGCGATGTCAGCTGCCCTGTCCCCCCTCCCCCACCTCTCCTGGCTCAAGGGCGCTCTGCTCATCTGCATCAGCAGGCGTCTCTCTCGCCTTTAAACCCACAGGTGGGCAACATCTCCGGCTCAGGGGGCTACAGGCACCACAAGTCAGGGCTTCTCTTCCCACTTCCCCATGTCCCAGGACTGGCAGCACTCAGGCAGCCGGCTGGGTCAGCCCCAGGGTGGAGGATCCCCGCATCCATTCCCAGCAAGGCTAACAAACGTGCACTTGGCAATCCCAAGGGGATGGGATCTCGCAGCATGTCCCGCAGAAAACCATTTCTCCTGCTCCCACCACCACCATGCACACCGGGGGGACCCTCCACTGATAGCCAATCTGTCCCTTGGCAATGGCTCCCCTCCCAGGACCCCCTTCCACCGTGCCCCTAGAGATGGAGGTGGAAACACCGGTTCCAGGGCAGGGGAATTGAAAAGAAAACGTGCAGAAACATGAAGTTTGGACCCTTACCGCCCGCCCCAGTAATGGGGCACCTACCCCCCATGCTGACCTGAGGCGGGCGACAACTTGGCAGAGCCTAGCTGAGTTTTCCACCATCCCAGGGATTTCGAGGTGGCTTTTGTGCAGGGCCCAGTGCGGCAACACGGGGTGGTGGGAGCTTGATACCCCACAGCCCTCTGCAAGGGGAATGGGAACCGAGGCAGCCTGGGAGCTCCTGCTGTGCTATACCAGGCACCCCCCACAGCCCCCGGGACTATGCCTCTGAATCCCAATGCCTTCACCCTGCTGAACTCACCCTAAAGCCCGGTGTCAAGTCCTAGCCCCCCGCACGCAGGAGGTAACACAGCTACCCCCACCGGTGGGTGACACGAGGGCAGCCAGAGCGGACAGACAGCAGACGCTGGGAGCCAAGAACTGCCGCGCTCGGGGCACTGCCCTCGCAGGGGGGGTACTCACCCTGGGCAGCTGGTTCACAGGACTAGCAGCTCGTGGAGGGCCAAAGCTCCAGTCCACGCTCGCCGACTGCGATGGCCTGGAGTCCTATAGACACTCTGGATGGGTCCAGGGGGCCCAAGGATTTATCCTGCTCCTGCGTAATAGGATTATGACCCTTCTTTTTGAAAGGGGTAATCTGACGTCCTCTGCAATGATATGTGCGTGGCCAGCGGGAGGGGGCCGTGCATGTGCACCAGAGGGGGTTGCCACAGCGTCATCGCACCAGCTGCTGTCTGCTTTACTGGGGGTTTTATGGGCCAAAACACTGCCCCAAAGGGCCTCAGCTTTGCCCTGGGCTCAGGGCATTTCCAAGCCTCCTTTCACTTGCAAACCGCTCATGCTGGCAACCAGGCACCTGGAGCGGACTGCACTAAGTCTGCTTGGACGGGGAGCCTGGGCCAGGTCTTGCAGCCCCTGGGGTACAGGGAGGGCACCCCAGCGTGCATCCCACACACTCACACTGCTATTGGGGCCCCACCAGCTGCTTCTGCAATTGCCCTGGCCACGGCTCCCTTGTCACCAGGTGCTTGCTAAGTCAAGGCAGAGACATCTGGGAAGGTGGGCAAAATGCCCTGTATGCAGGCCCAACAGAAAAGGGCATTCAGCACACCTGCCCCACTCTGCTTCGGGCATGTCACAGCCCTGCTCCTGGCTATTTGGTCACGAGGCGGCCTCCGCATCCGGTACTGACTGGATTCTGCTCTGCACACGGACAGCCTGTGCCCTGGAAAGCAAATCACGTGCGAGCCACAACACGTAGATCTGGGTGCACAATGCCAGTCCATGTCTTGCTCCCGGGGCCTTACCTGCTGGGCCACCTTGAGCAGCAGGGACATCACCAAGCATCTGGGCTCTGGCAGGCTCCCCTCAATGCAGCGGCCTCCTCCTGACCAACCGTGGCTGGGGTGGGGCCCAATTCTGTAAGCAGCGGTGAGTCCTGCAGGTCCCAGCAGCTCTTAACCAGGCTCAGAGTCCTTGGTGATGTGCCTTGGGTGCCCTATGCTCTCCCGGTCTGCTGCTGGGTTGCCTTCTCTGAGCTTTCCCCTAAATCCCCTTGCACTAAAACCATTATAACAGGCCTAAGCTGGGCACATTTTAATTGAACTCCAGGCCTCTCACTAATTATCCTTAGCTCGACTACAGCAGAGAGGCTCAGCCCCAGGCAGGAATGTTTGCAGTGGAGCTGGCTGAGCTGGGGGTCCCGGCAGCCCTGCTCATTACCGAGGCCGTCCCAAGATCTGCTACCAAACCCTGCTCAATAATGACCCCGGCCTCACAGGACAGATCCCAAGCTGGGGTGGGAGCTGGGGAATGAGTTCATTAGCCATCGCACAGCTGCCCTCAGACCCCCTGGGGGGCTGGGCATGACTTTTCCAGCCTGCACCACAGGCAGGCAGCACCTACACAGCAACGGTTAGCAAGCAGGGAGGAAAGAACTGCAGCACCTGAAACGCCAGCCCGGGAGGGACGCGAGTTGCAGGGATGCCGGCAAAGAAGGGCCAGGCCAGGCCCGGTGCGATGGGGAGAGACCATGTGGGGGCACGGCCCTGCAGGCTGCCTGGAGGCCTTACATGCCCCTGGGCTGTGTGACCCCCAGAGCAGCCCAGACGTGGATGGATTGGGCATGTGCCTCACAGATGCAAGAATCTCTACGCTCATTGCCCGCTGAGGACTCTGGAGGTAGGCACGGCCCCCAGAGAGCCCAGGGGCTCAGGGCACCAAACTGCCAGCTCTCTGGATACCCAGCCTCAACACAAAGCTAGCGCAGGCAAGGCAAGACATACCGTGGCAGTGCCCAGATGCCCCAAACACAAGCAGGGACCTGCTGTGCCAGGCACTGGGAACGCAGAGAGGCTGCATACGTGGGTCAGGATTTATTCCCGCCTCATCTGCACTGAGCCAAGTAGATAAATAAATAAATAACCTCGCTGGCTCTAACCCACTGGTGTGCAGAGCACCGAGCCCCTCCCGAGTCCATCTGGACAGGGGCAGGGGCGGCCTTGGGGCGCCCGCAGGAAGGAGGAGGGGAAGGAGGGTCCGCAAGGCGACACCAGGGCATCAGTCCTTCTTCATGCGGAGTCCGATCTCCATTTTCAGCACTGCCTTGATGTTCTCGTCTTGGATGTGCTGCTCCACGGCGGCCAGGGCCTGCTCCCCGCCGTCCTGGTAGTGCTGCAGCAGCTCCTCCACATAGGCCAGCCACACGCAGTTGTGGCACCCGCTCATGCAGCAGTTTGTGGGCGGGAGCAGCGTGGGGGGCACGGAGAAAGGGCTGGCCCCGTCCTTCCTGGGCGCCGAGGCCTCCCGGGGACAGGGCTCTGCCTCGCCCGCTGCCTGGGGGCTGTGGCCGGGGGCATCCGTGGGGTCGGCCTTGGCTGGTCTGGCCGGGAACCACCGGAGGCTACGGGAGCCAGGGCACGGGGGCAGGACGGGCAGCCCGGCAGGGAGCCCCAGGGCCTGGGGGGCGCCTCTGTAGCGCTGCCAGCGTCCCTGTGGGGGGAAGCACACTGGGAATGACGGGGAGCAGGATCCCTGCCCAGCTAGCCCCAAACCCCACCCCAGTCTTGACGCCAGGACATGACCCCCAAGCCCCCCAGCTGACTTTTCACCCCACCCCCAGCCAATGACAACCCCCCAAAAGTACCCCAGTGCCCCCACCCCCTGCCTAGACCCCCCTGACCTTTACACCCTGCCCTTTGCCCTCCCAGTGCCCCTGCCCCAAACTGCTGCCACTCCCAGCATCCCTTCCCCCAGGCAGCCTTTAACCCCTGC